GCGGGACAAGCTGTCGCCGCAAGTCGTGCTCGAAACCCCTTTGCGCCTCTGGGGCCGTCCCGCTCCGTCGGTATCCTTATATGATGTAACGACGTGTTGCCAGTTGTTTCCTGTGAGGACGTGTGTCTGTGTGTGTGTGTGTGCGTGTGTGTGTGTGTGTGTGTGTGTGTGTGCTGCAACAGCCCACTTCTGACTCCGCAAGGAATGTCACCATGATGGTGTGTGTGTGTGTGTGTTTGTGTGTGTGTGTGTGTGTGTGCTGCGAGCCTTCCTTTCTACAGTTCCTACGTTGCGCGTGCCCAATTTGGTGGCTATGCGCCAAATGTTGCCCATGCATTTTTCCCCGAGGGAGCTGGCAGAAACTGGCCCACAGAAGCCGAGTTTGCTGGGCACAGCTCAGGACTGTATGTGAACACTATGTATATACGGTCCTTTGAAAAAACTATATATACATGCATGCACATATGCTGGCATGAATTTCAAAGATGACAGACGGTGTGGGCAGGTCAGACTTGGAAGCAGTGAGGCTTGAGAGTTACTGTACCAATTGGGTTGCCTTGGAAGCAGCACTTGAGAGTTCACAGTTTGGTTGTGTTTTTTCAGGTTCTTTCGCGCTGCGTTTGAGTCAAAGAGCTCTTGCGCTGCCAAAGATTGGTGTTTTTAGGACCTTGCAACTCCAAACGCCGTAAGGCCCAAAAAGCAATCCTCTGAGGATTAAAGAAGGCAACGTCCCAAAAGCCTGAAAATACTGTAAGGTCCTAAAACTAAAGGACCGGATAGCCCCATGCACAAAGCTTCTAGTGGCGAAGTTCATTGAATCGCATTACATTGGGACGGAAGAGCAACAAACGGACGATTGGACAAGAGCCCAGCTGAGGTGCCGGCGCAAGTGAAGGAAAGTGGATGAGTGTGTAGGTGAAGAAGTGAACGATTGCGACTGACTGGGTAGTGTCATGGTGTCTGCAAAGCTACCAGGGCGGCGCTGAATGAAAGCAACATCCCGTAGCGTTGTGTTGCGCATCCCGTGCAACGCTTGGATGTGTCATGCTGTCGCTCCTCAACGTGACACACTGCCGGCCCCCGCCTGCTTCAACAAACAAAACGTACCGCGCCCGCCACAAAAGCAGACCGCATCACCGGGCTGACGAAAAACATCGGAAGCGTTGTACTGGATGTGGCACGCTGTAGCTCGCCTCTTTCTGCTGCTCGATGGAGACATTACCAGCCTTTCGAGACATTACCAGCCTTTCTGGTGTGTGTGTGAGTGAGTGAGTGAGTGAGTGAGCGAGCGAATGAGTGCGTGCGTGCATGCGTGCGTGAGTGAGTGAGTGAGAGAGAGGGGGGAGGGAGGGAGAAAGGGAGGGAGTGAGTGAGTGAGTGAGTGATGAGTGCCGGGTGGGAGGACGGGATGAGGGCGGGAGATACGGACGGCAGGAGTAAAGTAAGAACCCGCGCAGTGATGCGAAGCGCTGCAAGGTGCCGAAACAACCAAAGAACAATCGTTTCGGGTCTTGGAGCTATTAGCCTGTGAAAGATTATTTTTTCCTTGGGCCTCACAGCAGTTTAGTTACTCCAGGCTTTAAAAAGAACAAATCTTCCGAGGCGTAAAGTGTCAAAAACAAGCAACATGTTGAAGCTTGCAGTTGCTGAAGCGCTGCAAGGTCCAAACAACAATCTTTGCCAGCCAAAGAGCTCCACGTCCAAAACCAGTTGGTTTTGAAGCTTGGAGGTGCCAAATTGCTGTAAGGCCCCCAAAAAGCAAATCTTTATCCGCCTAAGAGCTTTAAGACCCCGAATGTTTCCTAAGGGCTCCAAGACAAAACATGTTTGTTGTTTAGCACCGTTGGAGCTGTTTGGTCTTTGAAATATTTGTTTTTGGGACAAAATGAAGCTATGAAGCATGGTCGTTTTTGGGACCAAATGAAGTTTTTGTGACAAAATGAAGGGTTTGTTTTTTGGTCTGTATGGCATTTTGAAGCTTGGAGTTGTTGAGGCTTGATTTTGTTCTTATCTTGGCGGTTCGGAACCAGGCGTCCGGTTCCTCAGGCTTGCAGGTGCTTAGTTTAGTGTTTGGGTTTCCCAGCCGCCTAGATCCTTAGGTGTTTAGTTGTTTGGTTTAGTGGTTGGGTTTCCATGTAACTGTTTAAACGTTAGTAAGTTGTGCTAAATGTTTCACGTGTTCCGTAAAAAATACAACAACATTGTGCTAGATTGTGCTTCTGAGGAACTGCCTAATATTGCTACCTTTTTTTTAATTGGGTCCCAAGATGTTCCGTGGATCGGTAGGAGTAAACATCAGCCGATTTGGGTTGTCAATTTGGCCTTCGGGGGGGTCAGCTGATTTGGGTTGTCAATTTGGCCTTCGGGGGGGAGGATTGGGAGTTTGGGGGGTGGGTGCCATCCTTTTGGAGGGGTCAAAACAGCTTCATGTTCCCATGTTTCAGGTTTCCAGGCGAAATGGTGCAATGCTTCGGAGGTTTCGCTTTGAGGCGGAAGTAGATCAACTACCTGTGCAATTTATCATTTTCTGAGATTCCCGGATTCGCCAGAAGGCCAAGAGCTGCCGAGGAAAATTGGCGACTCTCAGCTCAAAAGGGCCTGTAAGGGAAGGCCTCGCAAACTGGCTCTTCTGATGGTCGTATCCTCCGAAGCTCTGCTCTGCTGGCACGCTTCTCCCCAACAAATCTCCAGAAATAGGAAAGCACCTTTTAAGTATAGCTTGAAATTAGAGTTCTAGACAACCGAATGAAAATTGTCTTTAGCAAAAAGGAGCTTATTCAGATTACAATTGAAGCTAGAGATTCTGCTGGCGCTCTTTCCGTTTGCTGAATTCTATTTACATTTGGAGAAGAGCCCCCCTTGAAAGCCCAATTTCAGAGAATGGGTCTGTTTGAAATTCCGTTTAAACAAGAAAAAATACTGAAGTTCGAATTGAAACTAGGAATTCTGCTAGACCTTATTCATAAATCCTCTGTAATGTTTGGTCCTGATTGGAAAGGTCGTTATTTGAACTCCTTTTTGTAAGAAGGTTGCTAATAAAGCCTAGTTCAATTCGGTTTATCAAGGAAGCCCAGTTTAAATTCTAACTGAAGATAGAGCTTCTATTAGATTTCTGTCCTCACTAAATTCCATTTGAGTTTTGTTAGACGGTCAAAAACAACTCCTTGAAAATCTAGTTTGACTTCTTTTCAAAAAACATGAGATGCTTTGACATCCTCTTTAAAAAGGATACCCTATCTCAATTCCAGCTGAAACCATAATTTTTTCTAGAGCTCGTTTCTTTTTCAAAACAGTGACAAACATGAAACATTCTCGATCTCGTTCGAAATCTAAACTGAAATCGTCTTTAAGGGAAATGCTACCTAAAATCTAGCTAAAACTGGATTTTGTTGTCCTTTTAAATTGGGTTAGTTTCTTTCAAAAGGGTTGGACAGATCAGCCTGGGAAAGGAAATCACTTTAAACATCTAACTTGTTTGTAAGAGACTAGAGTCCTGTCCTTATTAACAACTCATTCAAAACATGAAGCGCATGCAAACACAGATTATGCGGGGTGAGGTATATATATATATACATATGTATACATCTATACATATATCTTTGTGTTTGATGTACACTTGTACTAGTATATATTCACAGACATATATATATATATATATGCGTGTGAGTGTGCGCGCGCGCGTACGTGCGTGTGTGAGTGTGTGTGTGTGTGTGAGTGCGTGTGGGAACGTGTGAGGAACTGAGTCAGCGTGGTGAGTGCGGAGAGTGCGCGCGTGCCTGTGCGTACCCCCACACCCCCCCTCGCCAGGACCCGCCCTCAACCACAGAAAGTATAAAGTAAGAGACAGATGCATAAAGACAAAGGAAAAGCCAAGGTCCTCTGGAAGAAGGGTCCTAAGCCCAGAAAAGCAGAAGCAACAAGAGAAAAGCAAACAAACACCAGGGCCATCCAGAAGGTTTTTGGTTTCTGTTTTGTTTTTGTTTCTTTCTGGTTTACGGCCCTTCTTCTGGAGGACCCTGGTTGATCTTTTGCTGGGTTTCTTGTTGGTCTGGGTTTGGAGAGAACAACAACAATGACAACTGCAGCAACAACAACAACAACAGCAGCAGCAGCAGCAACAACAACAACAACAACAACAACAACAACAACAACAACAACAGCAACAACAACAGCAACAGCAGCAGCAGCAGCAACAGCAACAGCAACAGCAACAGCAACAGCAACAGCAACAGCAACAACAACAACAACAACAACAACAACAACAACAACAACAACAACAACAACAACAGCAACAGCAACAGCAACAGCAACAGCAACAGCAACAGCAACAGCAACAGCAACAGCAACAGCAACAGCAACAGCAAGCAACAGCAACAGCAACAGCAACAGCAACAGCAACAGCAACAGCAACAGCAACAGCAACAGCAACAGCAACAACAACAACAACAACAACAACAACAACAACAACAACAACAACAACAACAACAACAACAACAACAACAACAACAACAACAACAACAACAACAACAACGCGCGGGCTGGCTGCTGCCGAGCGCCCCAGACACGACTAGCTGCCGGGCCAAAAACACTGCTCATTTTGCCAGGCGTGGGCGCAGTGCTGAGCGGGTGTGCGTACCATTTGGCAGGCATGGGTGCAGTGACGCGGGCACACGATTTGCCAGGCATGGGCACAGTGCTGAGTGGGTGTGCTTGCCATTGCAGGCATGGATGCAGTGACACGGGTGCACGTGAGTGGGTGTGCTTACCCTTTGAGGGATGGATGCAGTGCTGAGTGGGAGGGCGCAGTGGAGCTGGTGCGCGTGGGTGGTCGTGTTAACCGTTGGAAGGGCATAGGTGACTGCTGCGCAAGCGCACGTGCGCGGGTGTGCTTACCAGTTCAGGAATGGATACAGCGCTGAGCTGGAGCGCGTGGGCGGGCGCGCTTGCCAATTGTTTGCCAGGCATTGGGCGCAGCAGGTGCATGTGGGCAGGTGTGGGTA